ATTTCATTGTTTTTATCTTCTTAAAATGTAGGTGAAAAAATACTTACATGGGCTAAAAAAAAATTTCCCATAGAGATTATTTCAAAATACTTTCAGAGGGAGAAAAAGACTTGTCAGTTCCAAATGGCTGCATTGTAAATATTACTTAAATTTATTTCCTAAGGGGTTAATTTATTAAGAAACACAGAAAACCTCAATATTTATAAAATGATCATTACCGATTTGTTCATTTGAAGTGGTATGACTTTAAAAGATCTCGGTTATAAAATGCAACTTGAAACTAATAATATACATGCATATTTAAAAGAAACCCATAATCTCCTTTTCTGAAAGCTGAATAAAGGCTTGAATTCATTGCCTAGTTGCTTAACAAATTATCTCTTTCATTCTTGCTAAGATGTCATCCGTGATTTCAAATTTTAAAAATCAAATTATGATATACACTAATTAAAACAGGTTCATTCAAATTGAGCTTATATATGCCATTTATCTTGCGTAAAAATAAACCACTTAAACATTTAATTAAATAAGCACACAATTTAATTTACCCTCTTGCATATGCACAGTCTCAGCTACCTTACTCTTCAGTTCTGTGCCATCACCCTCCACCCTCTCCATACTGGAAAACAAACCAAAAAAAACCAACTATACTTAAAACATTTCCAGAAAGGGCATGTTAGTTAAGAAGTTGTAGTCAACCCACTACTAGAAAATTGCTCATTAGTACAATCTGTAAAAGACTACTTATTTAATTACTGTTAATGATCTCCAGCATTAAAGGAGAATCGTTCGAAATATACGTTAGTCAAGCAAGTTGAGAAAATAGCAAGCAGAAAAAAAAGACACAAAACTTGATGCGAGTTTAAAATTTGCAGAATCACAATCAGCCTCATGATTTCAATTATTTAGCCAAGATTATTTTTAAGGCCTGGTATGATTTATGTATTCAGTTCATTTCTTGTTGCTAATTCAAACTACTGGCTTTCCACTTGACAATCACTAGTATTAGTATTGAAATGTTTTACTATTCCATTAAGACATATCTTTATAGGTTGTCAATTTTTCCCTTTCATTCCCATTAAGAACTAAATCAACATTAATAAGAACAGTGAGAATTCTAGGGTAAAATGAAACTTGGAAGAGGATTTAAATAATTCCAGTAGCTATTCATTGTGCTTCTCACTATAATAGATGAGTAATACTCCACGATTCCACACCAAAAATACTTAGGTTTCTTATCATTGTTATTCTGGATCATGTGTGTATTCCTTAAGTTTGTATGACATCTACAAAGAAAAGTGGATATTTTGCCTAATAGAAGCTTTTGCAATAGTAAGATGGACAACAAAGAATTAGTTTCCAAGAAAAGTTGGCTTGATTTCAGGGAATTTATATCCTTTTCCACACCTGGGTTTAGGATTTGCAGTAGGCAAATCAATCTTTTCTTTCCCTTAATTTAACCATTCCCAAGTGCATTTGTAACCACAGGTCCTTAATAGTATTAGAATTACTAAAATATGTACAATTAACTGTCTAAAAATCTGAATTCTCAGTGTAGAAAATTCATTAAAATAAGATAAGCTTGTTTAAATTTTCAAGGAAATTCACTCTTTTAAAGTGTGACAAGTAGGTAATTCAGGACCCAAAAAGGTGGACAGATTGTCACAAAGTTATTATAATTATTATTTGATAATTTTTACAATAAATTTTGTCATAACGGAAAAACAGAAAAGATTTTTATTTGTATGGCTACTTGCAACTCTCCATTCCGACCTTTTTATACTATCATTGCCTATTCCTCAAGTAGGAGGATAATGTAAGTGGGAGGATTTGTAAAGAGCTTAAAAAAAATAACCTCAATATCTAACTAGCTTAAATTAAAATCTAGAGCACCCAAAGGACACAAGCCACACATTGCGAGGCAAGAGACCACAGAGCCAGGATGAACAAACACTTGCATGACTATCGGTTTATCACCGGTAACTTGCATGAACATATGGTCACTGAAGAGTTTATTTGAAATTCAAACTGCTTTTAAGTTCTATTTTCTTATTCATTATTTTAAAGAAGATATTGTCTAATTAAAAGTTGAAATCATAGTGCATTTTTCAGTCCTATTTCATTTAACAGAAATTTTCCTCTGGGGGAAAAATATTACAAAAGCTTTCTTTTAAAAATGCAAGGCTTTCAAAATTAAAAATACCAAAAAATGGTGATTTTTTTTCACCCACAACAAAAATAATATATTACTACACTAGAAAAAAAATCAAGTTTTTGTTAGTTTTTTTTTAATTTCTTCGTTTCCTTCATCTATTGAATTCAGTCTTGGACCTATTAAACAACATCGAAAAGAAATTTCTGAAACTGGTGACAGAAGTTAATGTATGATTTAGGATATATGACATCATTAAGCTTCCACGTTAAGGGCAGAAATTCTAACATTTATAAAATAACACTGCAAAATCATTTCAAGATTATATTTTTATTGTGTTGCAAACTGCTTTTCAATCATGTAACAAAAAAAAATGCACATACTTAAGTGTCACTGTGGGTTGCATGGCAATAGCATAAGAGCATCTTGTTCTCCAGAATACCCCCCCCCACCCCGCAGTATTCCTCAAGTTGAAGGAGAAAAGTCTTAGTTCTAGGCCTACAGACCCTAGGCATGGAAAGTATAATCCATGCTCTTTTTCTAAGTTGTACAGAATAAAAGAGCCTATGTGTACCTGTCTGCTCACAGAAAAGCAACTGATATTGGAAACAACTGCATTTATTTTTCCCTGGCAACTAGCATTTCAAAATATTATTTTAAATCAACTACAAAAAGGAAAAAAAGAAAAAGAAGAAGAAATCAAACTCTTGCAAGAAATACCTAAGAATATCTGTTTTTGCAAAAATATTTCTGGGACATTTTTCATTTAGAAAATGGTATGGAAAAGATTTACTGTTTTCAAGTCCTTGAAGCTTAAAATATATTTGATAATCTAAATAGCAGGCCACGGAGAACAGTTTCAGCCAACTGTGGCGCACAATGGCACATTTACAGAATTTTAAATATTTCTTTTAATAATTGATGTAGTCGTTTTGAATCATTCTGCATAGGATATCAGGTGTGAGCAGATTGCATTAACGCTGCTTAAACATTTCAACTTGTCAGTATGGCCAACTCGATTTCGGAAATATTTGCAGTATTTTCCCATCGAAACAGTAATAAAGGCAAAATAAATATATGCCACTACTTTATAATCACCGAACATTAATGAATATTTTATGTCTTTTTAAATCTCCCTGTTTAATTTAAAAGGGTGAAATTAAGTCTCCTCCCTGCAATATGCCAATTATCTGTAAATCAAACAATAACTTGGCCATTATGCTCCTTTTTGTTAATATAAGAGAAGCTAATTTGAAAACACTGAATGGCATTTTTAGACTATCAGTTTAATAGTCCTTTCTGCCCTCTTGTGGGAGAAAGTTGAAACACACTCAAACTATCAAAACTGGAAATATAAAAGAAAAAAGGGTAAAATTCTAGCTATAAAAATTCCAGTCAGAAAGAAAACTAAAGCAGTATATGTTTATCCATCATGCATTATACTAGTCTTCAATTAAAAAAAGTAAATCAACCACAGAATGAAATTTACCTTTTATTATCTTTGCTTTTCTTGATTAAATTGGAGTTATTTTGAAACTAAATTTCCTTAATTAATTATATTCAATATATAATTTAAATTTTACTAACATGAAGTTCCCAGAATACTCTGTGATAGAGCCATAGTTAAACATTATTTCTAATGTAAAAACAATTCTTCAATGAATTAAAATTTTTAATTTAGAGAATAGAACACACATTACAGAGGTTAAAAATGAAATGGCAATTTATACATTTAAAATCCCGGAAAAAATCAAATAATCCAAATCTGTGATTCAAATTATGGGCCAAGAAAAATTTTCAAGATTTTAGTTACTAGTCAACAAATTATTCAAGTGATAAATAGAGAACTTTAAGCAATGAGTTATTTATGCCAAATTCACAAATTGAAATTCATTGATAAAACATAAAGAAAGGAAACCATTAATAATCTAGCCATTAATGAAACAATTCATATACTTCTGAAAAATGATTAAGGCAAAAACAACTTGTTTTTTAATATGACAGTATTTTAAGCAATGTAGTCCAAGAAAAAATTTATGAAATAATCCAAGATTAAGCATGATTAATTCTCTTTATAAAAACATTAGTAGACAAATGATTGCTGTATTCACAACTTACATGGGATAATGTGACATAGTCGTCATTTCAGTGTTTCTAAACATAAGTCCTATCATAGCCCTACACATTTTTCCTCCTACAGAGATAAATTACTGGCTTTTAGGTGGGTGGGGCCACAGGCAAGAAGGTACCTCTTCTCTCTTAGGGGAGGTTCTTTTTTGAAACAGTGGCCCTGGTTGGCCACGTTGAAGAAAATATTGACATTATAAATAGGCTCTTCTCAGATATTCTGAGCTAAATGACTGATGGTCTCCAACAGCATCTCAAGAATACTGCCCAAGGCTGATTGAGCTGTTTAAGAAAAGCCTCCTCAAATTCCATTTGGAAACAGGCAGGGTACACATTATAAATAATGTATTTGAGAGCAACCTTTCAAATAAAATATAAACATGTTCGAAAATGCATGCTGTCAACAATTTCCAAATTAATATTCTGAATAATGACTATAAAACCATGAAATATATTACATAATAATGAGTTATTTTTAAGCAGGGTTTTAAGTTGACTATTTTAAGAATTATCAAGAGCTCTCATTTACAATATCTATCTTTCTAGGTCAAGTCATCTAATACGTCTACAGTAATCATTGAAGCTCCAGTTAATTAAAATTAAGAGCCCAATAATGAAACATAAAGAGAGTTTCCAACCAGAACAGATAAGCCCTCTTTAACAGGGTCAACATTAGCTATAATGAGCTACCTTTATTCCGTAGCTGTGAGACATAACTCACCTCTTGAATGGTACTGCTTCCTGAGAAGTTCAGGTTGTACTCCCGCTGGACTTCTCGGTGGGTGATGATCAGCATGAAGTTTTGATTTAATGACTCCTGCAGGGCACTGAAAGGGTTGAAAGAAAAACAAGGAACTCTGAGATGAACAAGTTCTAGCTTGCTTTACAGCTAGCTGCAAAAACCCCAGGAGTACCATAACCTCCACACAGGCATGTCCGGGCCCAATGTTATCATCTTTTCAGTTCCTAAAGGCAAGAGAGCACACTGAGAACAACCAAGGGGAGCTAACCTGTTAACTCCTTCTCTACCAAGGTGTTTTTAAACTTTAATTCTACATACTTTGCATACATAAGAATTTTCTACAAGTCATATGCTAGTGTCTGCATACGTATTTCTTCCAAGAGAACCAAACTTGTCAACTATATCAAATTCCAAATATGCTACTAAAATGTATACTGAAAGGCTCTGGTTCAAATCCATGTGAAATAGCTGTTCTAGAAGAAGAGAAATATGAAACTATTGTTTATGTTCATGCTGCCGTATAAGAATAAAAATATTGTTTCAGCCAAAATTCAGAAGATACTGAAATCTATAGAACTTTAATTGTTCTACCAAAATTCCTTCAAAATAATTGTGCCTTCACCTAGGACTCAGTAACAGAATTCAGAAACTGGAGAATTCAGAGCAATATTAAACTCTATACCAAAGTTCCAAAATGCCAGAACCATGAAGAGTAAATGAAATGAGCCACATAAATTAAGAAACATAAAGCATGGTTCTATTTGTTTATGATAATATTAAGAAGCACTATCAACACTGAAAATAAAAATCTTGCATTATTCCAAGTGCTAAGGAAACCAGTGCAAATAATACATAGTTCCTGTCCATAAAAAGCTTTACGATCTCATAAAGGTAAACAGATACACAAGCAGCCACAGTATAATGCAATAGGTACAACCGAGAAACTGAAAAACAAAAAATACAATGAAAACTTAGAAGGAAGCGCTTAATTCCGCCTCAGTGAGAGAGGAAAAGAATTAGGGAAATGCCTCAGAAGAGAAGAAAAATATAAGTTGAAATACGAAGGGTAAGTAGGACCTTAGAGTTTATCACTTGGAAGGGATGAAATTTTTGTTTTGTTTAGGGAAGAGAGATGGGTAGCACTTTTTAGACAAGGAAATAATAAGTGGAATAAAAAGCATGTTCATTCACTCAGTTAACACACATTTATTGAGCACCTACCTATGTTCATGACACTGTTCTAGTTGCTACGGATAGAGTGGTAAAGCAGAAAAACATGGTCCCTACTTTCATGAAACTTACATTCTAGTAAAGGAGACAAACAATAATTAAATAAATAAATAATTTTAGAGAATGCTAAGTGCTGTGAAGAAAATAAAACAGGACTATAATATAAAAGGTAATGGGGCAGGGGGGTGAAGGGAATTATTTTCAACAGAATAGTTGAGGAAGGCATCTCTGAGGAAGTGACATTTAAGTTGAGGCTGGCATAATAAGAGAGATAGTAGGAGTCTGATCATGTAGGTCCTTGTAGACCATAGTAAAGAACTTGCAATTACTATTTATAGTAATTGCAAAGAAAAGCCATTGGAGGGTTTTACACAGGGAAATGGTTAAGATCTGACTTACATTTACATTTATACAATATCATTCTGGCTGCTCTGGCTAAAGTGAGGAAAGAGTAGAGGCAAGGAGAGCAGATAGTAGGCTAGCCCAGGCAAGAAGTCATGGTAGCTTGGACTAGGGTGGTAGAGGCAGAGAGAGAAAAGAGTTGTCAGGTTCAGATGTATTTTAGAGGCAGATGCCAGACAATTTACTAACGGAGTATGAGAGAAAAATGTAACCCCAAGGTTTCTGGCCAGAGCAAATGGAAGGATGGAATTGCATTTAACAAGGAAAACTAGGATAAGAACAGGTTGGGTGGGGAAATTGAGAGTGAGGTTCTGGATATATCAAGTTTAAGATGCCTATTAGACCTCCATGTACAGTTGTGTATAAGAGTTGAAGGTCAAGTAAGAGAGGCCAGAGCAGGAGAACTGACAGCATATACATAGTATTAGACTTTGCAGCCAAAAGAAATCACCTAGGGAAACAGGTTACTTAGAGAAAAGGAAAGAGGCCAAGATGGAGCCCCGGAACATTCCAATAATTCAAAATCAAGCAGAGGAGGAGAAGTCGGTGTAAAGGAGATTGATAAGTGGTCAGTAAGAAAAGAGAGAAACCAAGAAAGTCTAGTATAAGGGAGCTAGGAAGTAACTGTCTGAATCAGGAGGGCATGAGCAATTATGCCAAATGATGCCGAGACATTAACTGCAGAAAAGCCAGAAAAATGACCATGTTCAGGAAACTGTGAAAAGTTCAGTGTGACCACAACGAAGGGTGTGAGAGAGGAGTGTAGTGAGGCTCAAACAGCAGGCTGGGTCAAGGTTCAATATACGTATGTTAAATGAATTTGGGGTCAGAAGACGCCATGTAATGGAAAGTCTACTTGGAGTTTCAAAGCCTTTCATAGGCAGACCTATTTCACAACCATTCTCCAAAATTTTGCTTTTGCTCTAGAGCTTGGCTGACTTCCCTCATGTCAAAAACATCACACCAGGGGCCGGCCCCGTGGCTTAGTGGTTAAGTGCACGCGCTCCGCTACTGGCGGCCCGGGTTCGGATCCTGGGCGCGCACCGACGCACCGCTTCTCCAGCCATGCTGAGGCCACGTTCCACATACAGCAACTAGAAGGATGTGCAACTATGACATACACCTATCTACTGGGGCTTTGGGGAGAAAAAGGAGGAGGACTGGCAATAGATGTTAGCACAGGGCCGATCTTCCTCAGCAAAAAGAGGAGGATTGGCATGGATGTTAGCTCAGGGCTGATCTTCCTCACAAAAAAAAAAAAAAAAAAAAAAAATCACACCATACTCACTTCAACCTCCGTTCGTGTTGTTCTCATTCTCCTTCTCATCTCCCCCCTCCCAAATACTGCACAGCTTTCAGACCACCTCATGGCCTACCATTTGTATTTATTATAGCTCTCCTCGTCTCTGAATTCCTATATCATATTCTTTAACACTGAAGTATAGCATGTTTTGTACCGTTTGCTTTGTTTCACGTGTAGAAGTCCTGAATTCAAGACTATAAGCATTTTGAGGGTAAATATCTTATTATTCATCAGTATCTCCCTTGGCAACTATCATACTAACAGGTGATTCAATTCAATCCTATAAATATTTAAGAAATAGCTCTGCATATTCTGAACTGCATATAAAGAACTACTAATTCTCATTTTTTGAGCTTACCTATGAAGTGCCATTTTATTTACAAAATTGTGGTTCAGAAAGGTTAAGTAATTGCCCAAGATATGCAGCTATAAAAAGATGGAACCCAGTTTCTAAACTATATTTGATTCTATGTTCTTTACATGTCAGCATCCTATCTCCCAATTGGCTAGGCTGCTTTGGAGATACAAAGATGAATAAGACTCCTGGCTGTTAGGAGTTTACAATTCATTCATTCTTTGATTCCTATTATTATTTGAGTCCTATTATTTGTAATAATACAGGAATAAAAGACATAATCCCCGACCTCAAGACAGACTATTCAGAGAGGTTAAAACAGATATGAGGAACGTGGAGAAAGAAAAGAGTACTTCGAAGTACTATGAAGAAGAATGGATAGTAATTTGACAAGTAGATATGGAGGATGATTTCAGACAGAGACTAGTTTGAGCAGAGATGGAAATGGAAGAATATAGGGAAAGGTACAGAAAGCAATGAGGAAGAAGTGTTAAGAGGAAGGGAAGAAGGGTTTGTGAAAGAAAAAACTTGAAGATTAAGGACCTACATTATGGGGGCTTCAAATGCTAGGCTAAGGAGCTCAGAATTCCAGAAGTCTTGATTATTATATAGATCCTCCTTTATCTTTACATACGAACCTACATACATTTAATACTTTTAGTGCTTGCCTTGCTGCAATTCCTTAGATACGTTTCTTGATCTTGACTGGCAGACTTGTGCAATAACTTTGCAGAAAGGTTTGCGAGGAGCAGCACTGACTGTGAGACTACTTTAGAATAAGATCAATTTAGTCTCGTTCTACAATTCCTCAATAGTCCTGGGAGAGGGTAAGTTGGCAAGAAAAAATATTTATGGCTTTCAACTGCTCAGGAGTCATAGAGCCATCAGATTTGAATCCCTGCTCCACTACCTGCTAGTTATTTGACCTTGAAAAGTCAATCATACATTCTTTCAACAGTATTTAGCAGGTGTCTACCACATACAAGGCACTATTTTAGGTACTTAATTACTCTGTAAATTCTCAGTTTCCTCTTCAGGGAAAGGATAATAATCCTTACTTCATAGAACTATGAATATTAAATTTTAGAAAGCCAAGTGGGAATTTTTATTGTGTATAAGTTTTACAGTGACTTGTTATAACTTACTGAAAATAGAACACTTTTGAGGGGTACTCATATTTTAAAATCTTGCAACGTGATAGTGAAACATTAACAAAACGATCTGTGGTGCTTTTGTGGCAGTTATTTTTCATGTTTTAGTTTCATTCCTCTGCGAGAGTTCATAGAGACTAAAATCTTTTTTGACGCATTGAACATAATTGTATATTATGCCTAATGTTATCCAGACTCATGGTGTACTTTTTCACACAGGTCTTATTTGGGGTTGATACACCACATTCCTATACCTCGTGAGAATGGTTTGTTTGGAGGAGTAAGCTGAGGGTATTATCTGTGACCTCAGACTCCAGACTGCTTCATTCACTTAGCCATTAATAATAATGGCTAGCCTTAAATGAGTGCTACTATCTCATTTAAGTATCAGGCATTAAGTATCAGGCATTAAGAGCTTCATGTCAACTTTATGAAGTTATTATTATCATTTTCATTTTATAGATGAGGAAACTGATGTTAAATTACTTGCTTAATTTTGTGCCACAGACAAAATAAGGAGCAGTGACCCAGGTCTAACTCTTATGATTTGTCCTCCAGGTACTGGAGAAGGGAACCCATCATATTTCTGCTTTGAGTTTTCTGAGGGATGGGCACACAAGCAAACTTACAATTCACATATAGTA